ACCCCCAAGGTCTCAATTTTCTCCCCGGCAATTTTGTCTACTTCCCTTAGCCAAGAGGATAACTATATGTTTTTTCTTGGGTTCACCTTCTTATTTAGCTTCTTTAGGTTCACCAGGTATACACTCCGTGACCTTTATTTATGGCTAGAAACCAATTATGAGTGAGTACATCCCATGTTCCACCTCCTCCCTGCCTCCCATTTTCTTCCCCATCCCGTGACTCCCCTCCCCATCCCTCTCCAGTCCAAAAAGCAGTCTGAGTTCCCTGCCCCGTGGGAAGACCAAGGTCCTCCCCTCTTCATCCAGGTCTAGGAAGGTGAGCATCCAAACAGGCTAGGCTCCCACAAAGCCAGTACATGCAGTAGGATCAAAACACAGTGCCATTGTCCTTGGCTTCTCAGCAGCCCTCATTTTCTGCCATGTTCAGAGAGTCTGCTTTTATCCCATGCTTTTCCAGTCCCACTCCAGCTGGCCTTCGTGAGCCTCCATTAGATCAGTCCCATGTCTCACTGGGTGGGTGCACCCCTTGCAGTCCTGACTTCCTTGCTCATGTTCTCTCTTCTTCTGCTCCTCATTTTGACCTTGGGAGCTTAGCCCGATGCTCCAATGTGGGTTTCTGTCTCTATCTCCATCCATCGCCAGATGAAGGTTCTATGATGATATGCAAGATATTCATCAATATGGCTATAGGATCGGGCCATTTCAGGCTCCCTCTCCTCAGCTGCCCAAAGAACTAACTGGGGACATCTCCCTGGACCCCTTTAGAGTCAAGTCTCTTGCCAACCCTAAAATGGCTCCCTTAATTAAGATATACACTTCCCTGCTCCCATATCTGCCCTTACTTTATCCCAACCATCCTATTCCCCCAGCTCTCCCCATCCTCCCCTTCTCACTTTTCTCTCCCCATCTCCCCTTTCTCCCATCCTACCCCACCCCCAAGTTCCCAATTTTTGCCCGGCAATCTTGTCTACTTCCCATATCCAGGATAATAACTATATGTTTTTCTTCGGGTTCACCTTCTTATTTAACTTCTCTAGGATCATGAATTATAGGCTCAATGTCCTTTATTTATGGCTAGAAACCAATTATGAGTGAGTACATCCCATGTTCATCTTTTTGGGTCTGGGTTACCTCACTCCGGATAGTCTTTTCTATTTCCCTCCATTTGCATGCAAAATTCAAGGTATAATTGCTTTTTTACCACTGAGTAGTGCTCTAATATGTATATATTCCACACTTTCTTCATCCATTCTTCCATTGAAGGGCATCTAGGTTATTTCCAGGTTCTGGCTATTACAAATAATGCTGCTATGAACATAGTTGAACAAATGCTTTTGTAGTATGATAGGGCTGTAAAGCAAAGGACACTGTCACTAAGACAAAAAGGCAACCTACTGACTGGGAGAAGATCTTCACCAACCCTGCAACAGACAAAGGTCTGATCTCCAAAATATGTAAAGAACTCAAGAAACTAGATGTTAAAATGCTAATTAACCCAATTAAAAAATGGGGCACTGAACTGAACAGAGACTTCTCAACAGAAGAAATTCAAATGGCCAAAAGACACTAAAGGTCATGGTCAACCTCCTTAGCCATCAGGGAAATGCAAATCAAAACAACTTTGAGATACCATCTTACACCTGTCAGAATGGCTAAAATCAAAAACACCAATGACAGTATGCACTATTAATGGCTGGGCCAGTTCTCCAGCCTCAAATACTTGTTAGTATGTAGATATTTATGAGATAAAAACTGAGTCCAATTTATGACAAGCAGCATGTCTAAAAGGAAGATAGAAATATTTTCTTGCATACAAAATTTCCAGAAATATTAACAAACTGATGTTTTGTTAAAAGTTTAGTGGTTAATGTAATTAACTTAGAAGTAAATTGATTTTAAAAAACTAAATGATTATGTCACTAATATTTGGGAGAAACATTAGTGGGGAGTCAAGGATGAAACTCACAGTAATGGATCATAATTCATTATCTCTGGAATATCAACATGTGATGAAGTCAGGAGAAGCTATGATCATCCACCAATCGCTAAACCCTTTTTCATGGGACATGCCAATCAGAGTGAATGGTTGTGACTACAAGCTTGATAAGCTAAGAGTAAAAGCAGATAGGCAAGACTGTCTGGGTTTCTGTTTGACAATTTAACTGATTTGTAATTCATACAAGGAAGGAGTTTTGACTTTCTCTTTCACAGGAGAGACTATATGAATGTTCTACACATTTCACAAAGCTAACAGAAAGGAGTCACAGTTTGGTGAGCATAAAGAAACTTTGAACATTTAGCATCTTAAAGTGTGCTAACTTCAACTCCACACTCTACACTCTACACTCCTGTATGGAGACTTCACAGAACCTCATAAATATGTACAACTTTCATAGTCTTCATGCAGTTTTAATTGTTTAGCTTAAAATTATCTTAAGCCTGTGACTGATGTGCAAAAATTATGACCAGGTTTTCTGTTTTTCCCTTAGACTCCTCAATCTGTATGTACACAGAGTTGTGGTCCAGGTTTCTGGAAAAGTCTAGAAAAAGACAGACCTATCTGTTGTTTTTCTTGTATGTTTTGTCCAGAGAGACACATTTCCAATCAAACAGGTAATAAAATACTTTTTCTCAAACTTCTTGTTAATTTAGAATGGGAAAGGTAAGAAGTGAGCATGTTCTTGTAACAAGAACCCATGTCTCTTTCACTCATCCCCATATTCATTAGAAATCACTGCTGATTCCACACAAGGTGTGAACATTTGAGCGACAGTCCTCATGTTATTGTGTTATCTGCATCCATATTTCCAAAACCTGCCTTTCTTTACATGGTTGTTTAACCTCAGCTCTAGCTGTGATCCATACTAGAGGCTGCCCAGGCAATGTGAGGTGTGCACATGATCATGCTACCTGTGTGTTCCTTGAATAAATGAATTAAAAAATTCTTTCCTGAAAATAAGCCCTGGCAGGACAAGTATATGTGGGGCTGTTTCCAACATATACCACACATAGAATTAAAGTTTAGAACACGTTTAGCTGTCATTTGGAATATCAAAAATAGTCTTAAAAACAAGTTTTTGTAAAGGAAGGCACAGCAGCTTGTAGATCTTTGCTATGTTGTGGTCCGCAGTTGAGGCAAGTACAGTTTCTTGCCAAAACAGCTAGCTTTTTTAACAAAGAAAAACTCCTTATGGAATTTCTTTGATGTCAATAATTCAGTTTTGAAGAAGATCAGTGTCACCAGGAACACATGTTTCTCATGACAAGAAAAGTTTAAGTCATTAAAACATTTTAAATGCCATATTCTGTAGGACTTTGAGGTGTTTGAAGATTATCAATTTAAAATATATCTCTGTATGATCATGAAAACATAACTAACATAAATATAAGTTTAGTTATAGGTGACTATTAACCTGTATTTCTTTTTATTTTTTTATTTTTAAACAATCATTTTTATTTTACATACCAATTCCAGTTCCCACTCCCTCCCCTCTTCCCACTCTCCTTTCTCTCCACCCCATCCCCATCTACTCCTCAGAGAGGGTAGGGCCTCCCATGGGGAGTCAACAAAGTCTGGCACATCACTTTGAGGCAAGATCAAGGCCCTCCCCCTGTATCTAGGCTGAGCATGGTATCCCTCCATAGAGAATGGAAATCTGTATTTCTAACTTATCCTAAATAATAAGTACAGAAATTTCAATGACTAGAAATTAATATTACATTTTTAAATGAGCTGTACCTTAAATAAAACTAGAACTGTATATTCTAATAAAAATAACCTTAAATTTGTATAATATACAAAAATATCTAAAGCAAGAGTAAAAATATACATGTAGTATAGCCTTGAATTTCTAAAAAAGATAAAATAAAGAAAGTAGAAGCACACATACAGTATCACAAGAATAACCTTAAAATTTGTTATCCCTATACAAGTGTATAATATTGAAGACTAGTAATTACCCTTTCAGTTTAAAAGTAGTTTCAATAATCTACCATTTCATCCTATCATTTCTATATTCCACATTTTTTCTTCAGAATGAAATCTCTAAATCTAATATATTTTGTTTAGCATTTTTCTAGACTATTATTGCTAAGAACTTGTAATCAACCACCCTAAATAATGACAAATATCTACAACCCAGCAGAAGACCAAGAACAAACTATCTTACCTCTAGGGAATGTGAGGATTGTGCTTTCTGGGTAGTTTCCTGCTGTCTTGGGGGTTGATGGCATCCCTAGGGGACCTTGATAAAAATAAAGTATGTGAAAAATAAAGTAAGTATTTATTTAGAAATAAAGCTTGTCTAAAGTTCAAAGCAGTGCATGTGGCTGAACCATCTTTGATAGCCATCCTGAAATTGTTCTGATCAGTTTGTAGTCCAGAACTGATCTTTGGGTAGAGTTTATCAGATTAGTGGTATAATCACTAATCCAGGTGGAATTGTCATTGTGGAGCCCCATTATCCATTTGAAGACATTAGAGGTCGCTGTTAGGAATGTTTATCCCACACTGTGGAAATTTTAAGCATATTAAATGTCATGTGCTACAAATCTTGAGGAGGTTAAAGGACCATATTCTGTTAAATACCTCTGAGATACCCAGGATTAAATCTTAAATATCTGCTTCAGAATCACTTAAGAAATTGTATAGAAGAATCTACATGAAGTCTAAGGTTAGACTTAGTTAGTACTTAATAATACCATTAATATCAAAACAGAAAATTTAAATTCTGAGATAGTATTTATACTTTAAGAAAGTGTTAAAGAGTCAAAATAAATCCAAGGGATATGAGATTAGTGATAATATAACAGTTCCTAGATTTTTATTTTCTTCTCTTCCATACCATATCAAGTGGTCCTTCTGATATGAGGCAGAGACTCTGAATTTTAACAAATATGCTTGGATATAGAGGAGATAACCATGCTCCAAATTCAAAGACAGCTTTATTTTTTTTATTGAGTAAGGACTACATAAACACCACCTGTTTCACATTTCTGTAGAGACTAAAACAATGGGCATTTTGAAAGGCTTATGAAAATTTACACTGCCGGAAGTGTGCAATACAGCCAGAACAATTTATTCCTCTTCCTGGTAATTTTTGAGGATCCTCCCTTTTTTTTATTCCCATATTTATTATTTATTTTGCATACCAAACACAGTTCCCCCTTTCTTCTCTCACCTTCACTCTCTCTCCCACCTTAACTCCCCCATCCACTCTTCCTCCATTCAGATAGGGTAAGGCCTCTCATGGGAATCAACAAAGCATGGCACATCAAACTGAGGCAGAACCAAGCTCCTCTCCTCTGCACCATGACTAAAGAAGGCTTCCCACCATAGGGCTCCAAAGAATCAGCCCTGGACAGGTCCTGGTCCCACTGCCAGGGACCCCACAAAAGAACAAACTACACAGCTATTACCCAGTGCAGAGGGCCAACTCAGTCCCATGCCAATTCTCCTGCCGTCTATTCAGAGTCCATGAGTTCCCACATGTTCAGATCAGCTGTCTCTTTGAGTTTCTCTGTCATAATCTCGATGACCCCTTGTTCTTATAATCCTTCCATCCTCTCCTCAACTGGACTTCTAGAACTGGACCCAGTGTTTGGCTGTGGATTTCAGCATCTCCTTATATCAGGTACTGGATGAAGGCTTCATAATGACAATTAAGGTAGTCACCAATATGATTATAGGGCCAATTCAGATACCCTCACTACTCATGCAAGGGGTTTTACCTGGGGTCATCCTTATAGATTTCTGTGAGCTTCCCTGATACCAGGTTTCTCTCCAAACCTACAATGGCCCTCTCTATCAAGATATCTCACCAACTACTCTCCCTCTCCCTCCCACACACAACACCACACTCCTGGTCCCTCCTTGTTCCCATCCCCCCATAACCTCCTCCTCTACTCCACCCATCCCCAGTTTACAGGACATCTCATCCATTCCTCTTCTCAGGGATATCCACGTGTACCTATCAGGGTCCTCTTGCCACCTAGTCTCTCTGGGAGTAGCCTGAGGACTGTAGCCTGGTTATTTTTTGCTTTACATCTATTATCCCCTTATAAGTGAACACACACTGTGTTTGTCTTTCCGTCTTGATTACCTCACTCAGGATAATTTTTCTCTATTTACATCTATTTGTCTGAAAATTTCATAATATCATTGTTCTTTTCTGCTGAGTAATGCTCAATTGTGTAGATATACCACATTTTCTTTACCTATTCTTCAGTTGAGGGGCATCTAGGTTGCTTCTAGGTGCTGGCAATTGCAAATAATGCTGCTATGATTATAGTTGAGCAAGTTTCCTTGTGGTATGAGTGTGCATCCTTTGAATACATGCACAACAGTGGTATTGTTGAGTTTAAAGATAGATTGAATCCCAGTTTCCTGAGATAACACCATGCTGTTTTCCAAAATGGCTGTACAAGTTTTCACTCCCACTAAGAGTAGAGGTGTGTTCCCCTTACACCTCATTTTTTTCAGCATAGGCTGTTATTAGCATTTTTGATTTTTGCCATTCTGCAAGGTATAAAATGGTATCTCAGAGTCATTTTAATTTGGGTTTCCCTGATATCTAAAGATGTTGAACACTTCTTTAAGTATATCTCACCATTTGAGATTCTTCTATTGAGATTTCTCTGTTTAAATCTGTACCCTGTTTTTAAGGGGATTAATTAGTATTTTGATGTCTAGTGTCTGGAGTTCTTTATTTATTTTGGATTGCAGTCCTCTATTAGATATGGGCTGGAGAAAATCTTATTCCACTCTGTAGGATGCCATTTTGTCTTGTTGGCAGTGTTGTTTCCTTTACAAAAGTTTTTCAGTTTCATAAGGTCCCATTTATTATTTGTCAATTTTAATATCTATGCTACCGGTGTTAGATTCAGGAAGTAATTTCCTGTGCCAGTGCATTCAAGACTACTTCCCAGTTTCTCTTCTACCAGGTTAAGTGCAACTGGATTTATGTTGAGTTCTTTGATCTGCTTGTACTTGAGTTTTGTGCATGGGGATAGATATGGGACTATTGCATTCTGTTACGTGCCACTATCCAGTTATGCCAGCAACAATTGTTGAAAATGTTGTCTTTTTTCCATTGTATATTTTTGGCTTCTTTGTCAAAGATCAGGTGTTAATAGGTGTAAGGATCTATGTCGGGGTCCTTGATTTTATTCCATGAATCCACTTATCTGATTTATGCCAATATCAAATGTTTTTTTTTTTTCCTACAGCTATATAGTAGAGCTTGAAATCAGGGGTGGTGATGCTCCCAGAAGTTCCTTTATAATACAATATTGCTTTGGCTATCCTGGATTTTTTGTTTTTCTATATAATGTTGAATATTGTTCTTTAAGATCTGTAAAGAATTGTGCTGAGAGTTTGATGGGAATTGTGTTGAATCTGTCTATTGCTTTCAGAAAAAATACCATTTTTACTATTAATCCCACCAATCAATTATAATGGGAGATCTTTCCATTTTCTGAAGTTTTCTTCAAAGACTTAATAGTTCTTGTCACACAGGTCTTTCATTTGTTTGGTTAGAGTTACCCTAAGATATTTTATGTTATATGTGGCTTTGTGAAGGGTGATACTTCTCAGATTTCTTTCTCAGCCAGTTTATCAATTGTACATAGAAAGCCTACTGATTTTTTCCTTTTTATTGACTTTATTGAGCTATACATTTTTGCCTGCTCCTCTCCCATCCTTTCCCCTCCCCTTCAACCTTCTCCCATGGTCCCCATGCTCCCAGTTTACTCAGGAGATCTCTTTT